GACTGGAATCGAACCTGGGACCATTCAGTCCGCAGGCCGACACTATCCACTGAGCCAAACCAGTCAGGACTTTCTATTGATTTTTAGGGAGAGTGGAAGAGAGAGGGAAAGACAGAAACATCGATGTGAGAGAAACACATCCATTGGTTGCCTCCTGCACACCCCCCAACCAGGGAGGAGCCTGCAACCAAGGTACGTGCCTTTGACTGAACTCGAACCCGGGAGCCATTGGTCCAAAGGCTAAGCTCTACTGAGCCAACCGGCTAGGGCTAAAATTATCAGTCTTTAGCCTCCAAAATAATTTGTAATAGCATATTGTTAATTTCTGTAAGTTAAGGAAGAGTAACTGATGATGGCCTTTGTTAAGTGTTGATTTCCTAACCACTGTAACTTGGCAACTTGGCAACTGGCTTCCCCCCCCACCCCCCCCCCCACTTAGTTAGACTTTAACTAGAAGGCAGTAGAAACTGGAATTGGCAAATCTGTAGAGTGCAGACCAGTATGTACTATATTGTTAATTAAGATTCTTCTGTTTAATTGTATTTTCTAGTTTTAAAATCTAGAAGCGATATTATTTTGGGGTCTTAAAAAGTTAGTGATCGCCACTTTTCAAGAAAAAAATACCTTTGTAATATCAACTGTTTAGAATCAACCTAGCTCTTAAAAAGCTTTTAGATCATATTTTATCTGACTTCTTACATTGAAAATTGTTGTATTTAGTTTATTTTGCTATGGAAATACTAAGTTTGTTGTTGTAAACTATTTACTGTGTAGATTGGCAGTGATAGGTTTTATTTATTTAGTTATTAATATATTTTTATTGATTTCAAAGAGGGAGAGCCCTAACCAGTTTGGCTCAGTGGATAGAGCGTCTGCCTGCAGACTGAAAGGTCCCAGGTTCGACTCCGGTCAAAGGCATGTACCTTGGTTGCAGGCGTATCCCCAGTAGAAGGTGTGCAGGAAGCAGCTGATCGATTTTTCTCTCTCATCGATGTTTCTAACTATTCCTCTCCCTCTCTGTAAAAAATCAAAATATATTTTAAAAAAACAACTTATTTTCTTTAAAAAAAAAAAAAAAGATGGTGAGAGATAGAAACATCAGTGATAAGAGAGAATCACTGATTGCTATCTCTTGAAAGGCCCCCTACTGGGGATCGAGCCTGCAACAAGGCATGTTCCCTGACCTGCATTCGAACCATGACCTCATGGTTCATAGGTCAACACTCAACCACTGAACCATGCCGGCCATGTGGCAGTGACAGATTTTAAATTGAAGCTACCTTACCCACTTTCCAAGTACATTTATTTTAAAGCTTACCTTGAGCAATAC